ATGGAATTGCTTGACTATGTAGCAGCCAAGTTCCATGAGGAAGCTGGTATCTTCAAGCTATTGGTACAAGACTTTTTGGTTTTGTATGCTTACTGTTTCAGAATAAGTTTTCCTATTTTCTTCCACTGTATTTACTTATCTAGCATAATTGCAATGCAGATCATTGACTCCATAATGGCACTTTTCCGTGTGGATTTCAGTGGTCGTGGAGAGTTGGCCGAACGACAACAGAAACTAGCTCAGATGCTGTCAAGGCTCCAAAAAATATCAGAAGGTTGGTAGCACAACCACCTAGTAGTGCAGGGGTAGTATCAATCAGGTACTGGCCCAGGAATCTTTCCTCACTTTACACCTCTGTCTGTTACCAAAAAGATCAAACTGAAAATATATTAATTCAAGATGACAGACTGAGAAAACTTTAGAACTTTTCAGCCCTTACAGTTTTTCTAGAAATATTGTCAAGTCCTAAATGAGAGAATAGGTTGTCAATCTGGACAAATATCCAGTAAGACAAATTGTCTTCCTCAAATTTCTACAGTCTAAATACAAAAGAAACACGAAGAATAGAAAAAAGGATGAAGGCACAGAGAGATAAAAAAGCCGTGCCCATTGCCGCTTTCCCAGGACTTTGCAATGCTCTGAGGGATGATGACAGGATGAACAGAGTTTCTTCTCTTTGGAATGTCTCAGAAATGTTGATGAGGAATGAGTAAATGCTTTTTTTCCGTGCAGTAAAAAAAAAAAAAAAAGAAAAGGCAAACAGAGAAAGGGAGGGAGAGGGTGCTGAGGGCAGGGTGCCAAGAGAAGATGGGAACCGAGGAAGACTTGTTCACTGGAATTCTGAAAAGTGCTTGTTTTTGGTGTATTACAGCTGAAGCCATGCAGGAGCAAATTCAGGCTGACTCCTGCTTAACTGCAGCTATCAGCCATAAAAAATATTTGCTGCTCGTTCATTTGAAATTTGAAGTGCTTCAGCAGCAGCCCTGCTTTTACCGTGGATGGGAGAATATTTTCTAATTCTAATTGGATATAATCTACCCTCTTTGCATTGTTTTCCATTACAGAATATAACGTGGCTGTGTTTGTGACCAACCAGATGACTGCTGACCCAGGAGCAACTATGACGTAAGAGAATTTTTCTCTCTCTTTTAAGAAAATTTCTTCTATTTTGTAATACATATTTAACAGAGATAAGAAGTGAGATTATATCTAGCAAGTGGCACTGAAATGAAGGTTCAGATTGTTTATTGGTTCCTGTGGTATGAGGAATCGTTCATGGATGACACCTCTCAGTTTCTCTCAGTTTATGTAATGACTATTTTTCATGTTTATCTGCTGCCTGGTATGATGGTATGATTTCACTGTGACTTGAATGAAGAGAACAAGCTACAAAAAGTATTGAAAAAGCATCCCATTTTCCTTAGGAGAAGCTAATATATGATGTTTAAATTGTGCATTTCTTGAGTCTCTTGAATTTAATGAGAGGCAAATGATGCCAGCATTGACCATTTGAACATCCTATCTTGAGGCAAGTGTGTTAAAGTATTTTTTTAATGTATTGACCTATTCATCATTCATTACTGAGTTGAATAGGCCTTGCCTGACAGTTAATCACAGTATTAACCTCTGGAATTTGCACAGTGAATCACCACCATTTTCTTGCTAATTCAAGTTTTCAGGCAGACCCAAAAAAGCCCATTGGGGGCCACATCCTTGCTCATGCTTCGACTACCAGGATCAGTTTGAGGAAAGGGAGAGGGGAGCTGCGTATTGCAAAGATATATGACAGGTAAATGACCTTTCCCTCACAGCAAGGGTCCTGCGTTACGAGCAACCACAAGGTGACAGAGTTCAAGGTACTGAAACTTTCTGCATGGTAAGTTGGGAGAAAACCTGAAAGGACAAAGTAATTAACAAATTAAACAACTAATTAAAGTTGTCTTGCATATTGCATACATTAAATTACGTGATCTTTCCTCATTAATCCTACTAAGATGCTCGGCTCTTAAAGAAGACCATGCAGTATTTTGGTAAGACTGGTGCTCCCTCGGCAGGAAAACTCCAGAGCTGTTGAATTACTAAGTTTTCCTGACACAACAATTTCACATTTTCTGATCTTGATGATATTGACCACGTTTTCACATAGGTATAAAGGCACTGAAGTATTCCAGGTCACTTACACCTGCAACATTTTGGGGACTGTTTCACAACTGCATTTAACATGGAGGAACCCACATGTTTCTTGGTTGTTTTTTTTTCCCCTCCAGCCCTGAGATGCCTGAAAATGAAGCTACGTTTGCAATAACCACAGGAGGGATTGGGGATGCCAAAGAATAGGTAAAAAACCAGTGTAAATGTACTGCTGGGCAAGTTGGGATGAAGATTTGTGCATGGCCACCAACTGCCTGGCTGCATTCTAGCTTTTGGGAACTACTTGAGATATTTTGGGAGAACATTGGGATGAACTCTGTACAGTTCAGTTTTACTGAATTTGGTTCATTTAAGGTCTATGTTTTTCAATTGAACTTTCAGTAGACAAAGATTCAAGAAATAAGCTTGTGAATTGTTCTCAGAGTCCCTTTCCCATGTTTTGTGAAAATCAAAGCTGTTCTTTCACATGAGATTAAATATACTCTATTCTTAGTTTATTTCAAAGAGAATGTCTAAGTGGTAGAATTTAATGGAGCGAAATGAAGAATTGGAATAAACTCAGTTATGAAATTACCATAAATAGATGGAAAAGGCAGTGGGAGGAGCAACAGCCCAAGAACTTGATGGACTCTCATGTACTGTAGAAGAACAAGTAATTTTGAAAATATGTTCTTAGGCATTTTTATCTTGACTGGATAATGCTTACATTTTTATTTAGCATTTTTTACTTTTTGAAGAGAATGTTTTAAAACTGTTCTTATTAAAGTTAAAAATAAAGACTGACTTAGAACAGAGATCTGATTATGTTTGGGTGCTTTGAATTAAACCCTCCTCTCAATAATCCCATTGATCTTTCATGAGAGAAATAATCCGGGTGCATCCCAACATTTTAAACCTTTTGTCTAGCTTTCTAAAGGAACAAACTTTACGTAATTTGCTTGTCATTCTTCTAACAGAAGGAAGAATACTAAAAATTGCTATGAATTATTGTTATCATCATCATTATTAAAAGGAATAAAACAATTCCAGTGGCTACATAGGAGAGAGGGAGGCTGGCACTGTTGCTTACACCAAGGGAAAGGCATTTAGGATTCAGTTTGCTGAGGGAACACAGCTCCAAACTAGCCACAGATGTAGGTCATGGAAGACAAAAGAAGCTGGGAATAAAGAGAGAAACGAGGCATTGGGGGACAAAATAATAATTCAGTTTGCAATACCTCTGATGTTCATGGAATGGCTTTTTTAAAAATAAACTAAACAATTTATGTATTTATATCTATAAGGGAAGGTCTTACTTTGTCCTCTGGTAATGAGAACGGTCTAACTTTGGTCATGGAGCTTGTCCTCACTGGCACAAGAATTTGTTCATTTAGATTAACAAAGGCCTATACAATAACATGAAGTAAAAAGGCAGTGATGACCAGAAACTCATCCAAGAGCAGCCTGACACCATAGCCAGGCTTTTCCTTCTGAAAGACCTAGAGGGCTTGCCTTCCTTAAGTGCTTTCTTTACAGAGAGGTGGTATTCTTCTTGAGGTAAAGCACTATTTTTCACAGTGGAGAAAAGTCTTGAGAGACAAAGACAGGGAGGCTGGCTGATCTGGGAGAGCCAGGAATGGATCAGCTACTGTCATTTAATGCAATGTCTAGTCCTTTGCATGTGTCAGTCCCACACCAGGCATTCGTATCCAGTGGCCAAGTACCAGGTGTCAGTGGGAGCGTGCAGTGTCACTTGACTCCCTCCCACCTAGAAAGGCCCAAGTTTCTTCCAATACTTTATTTTAGGCACCAAGATTGCTCGTTGTTTCCTCATACGTGCCATATGTATAAACTTACAGCACATAAAACTAAGACAGTAATTTGTGTGCCGTTCAAGGTTGTTACTTTTATTCAAGGGTCTGGAACTAAAGGGGACTCGCTTTCTCTTCTGCCAATATACCCGGTTTTTAATAACCTGACGGCCCAGAAAGCACCAGTGATAGTGCCGCCGTGGTTTGGGCCAGGGCTGGGTCTGGTGGGATCCCATCATTCACTCGACACGGCCCCTGCTGCCGGGACACGCTGACCTGCCCCTTGGCCGTAGCACATGCACGGCACGAAAGAATTTATGGCCTGTGCCACGTAATCGCCTCATGGATTATTCTTTCATTGGGCGAGGTTGATCTGGGGAGTTCTGTCCCGGCCTACTGGTGCTCTGGCGACACCAAACATCATGGCCGCTGTCACTTTGCTCCTGCCCCAGCGCCGCGCCAAAATCCCCCTACTAATCTAATATGGAAAAATCTAGACCCGCCGGAGACGCCACGGAGGCCCGAGGGGCCGCTCCTGCCCCGCCACCCCTCGCCCCGTTATTGTTCCGCCATTGTATGCCCAGCTCCGCCGCCACCTCCCCGGGGCCCGCGGGCGCGTAGGCGACGGGTCGTATTCTTGAAACCCGCTGCGCAATCAGCGTAGCCCTCTGGCTCTGCCTGCGCGCTCCGCCAAAGAATGTTACGCCGAGCGCACGGGCTCTTCCCGCCCTACGCCGGCCTCAGTTACGCACCTTGCGTACGCCGTTCGCTTACGTAACGTACGCCCCGGCCCGGGTTTTGCCCGCCGAGCCGAAGGCGTTGCGGGGCGCGCTCTTCGCGCAGCAGACTTTGGGGAACAGCGTTTCTCTCCTTCTCCCGCCCGCCTTCCTCACGCGGGGCGCCGGCTCTAAGCAAAGAACCCCACGCACCTTTCGCAGCCCGCCCGCTGCCGCGCGGGGCGGTGCTTCGCCGCGCGCGCTTTGTGCGTAGCTGCGTTCCGTGAATAGGCATAGGCGTCCCGGGGCGCCGCGGTTTGCGCAGCGCTGCGCCGCCCGTAGCGTAAGCGGAGCGGGCCGGGGCGGCGGCGGCCATTTTGTGCCGGGAGCGCGGAGGAAGAAGACGCTTGTGTCTCCACACCGCCCGGGCCCTGGAGCCGACCGAGAGCCCCGCCGTCCCGGCCGCTGAAGCCCAGCGGGTCTCGGACCCACTGACCACCTCTTCTCCTTTTGTGTCCCACCAAAGAGGCGAGGTGGCGCAAAGCGAGTCCTCCGAGGCGCAGCCGCCCCTGGCTGGACCCTCTCCCCGTACCCCCAGCCCCTCGCCGTCCCCACGGCCGGCGTTCCGCTGCCTCTCGCCCACCCCTCCGGGGGCGATGAGAGGCTTCGGGGACCGGGGCCGCGACCGAGACCGCGGCGGGTAAGGGGGGGGGGGTGGTTCGTCACGGCCGGGAGGCGATGGGGGGAGCTGAACCACCGCGCTGGGGGCCCGGGGAAGGGGGAAGGCCGGAGAGGGGGGCGTGCGCTGTAGTAGCGGGTTTGGGAGAGCGAAAATCCCATTTTTGGGGAATTTCCCCCATGTATTCTCGTGTGGGGGTGGGGGGAG